ATTTGCGGTAATTTGTCACAGCAGCAATTAAAAACCTCAAACTACTTAGAAGCACAAATTCTGTAGCCTGATTTCTTGCATTCAAATCCCAGCTCTTATATCCTGCAAAATCTTGGGCAAGTGGCCAAAGCCTTTGTTTCTTTAATTTTTAAATTTATTTTTTATTTTATTTTTTGGGTTTTTGTTTTTTTGTTTAGCCTTTGTTTCTTCATCTTAAAGTGGGAATAGTAGGGCTGCGTGGCTCGCTGGGTGAGCGTGGTGCTGACAACACCAAGTCAAGGGTTAAGATCCCCTTACTGGTCATCTTTAAATAAACAAATAAATAAATTAAATTAAGTGGGAATAGTAGAAGCACCTGCAGCATGTGCAGTAAACAAGTTAAACTACGTGAAATAGATAAGATGCTGCTACTGAGCTCCATGTAGCATGAGTTCATGTTTTATACACCATCATTTTGTCAAAGGGATACACAAGTGGGTTTGAGAAAGAGTCCCCAGCTGCTGTTGAGAGGATGGACTGGAAAGGAGGAGAGGATCCCAGAGCTGGATAGAAAGGATGGGCTGGGAGAGAGATTCCTGGCAGGGGCTTGGCCAGCGGCTGGATCTGGGGAGTGACAGATTGGGAGGAAGAGAGGCCTCTGGCTTGGAGGCCTGGTGGGGCTGTCACCAAAGTAAAGCAAAGGGGTGAAGCAGCAGGTGCTAGTAAAAGTAAAAACGTGGTTCAGGCACATCGAGCACTCAGGATGTGCAGGGTGTCCCAGTGAGATTGTTTGCCTGGTGCCAACAAGTTCTCACTACAAGACTAGAAGGAGGTTCTGTGACTGTGGATCTCCAGGGGACAGATTAGAAACTGAGGCTGGGAAGAGGGAATGGGCCTGACCCATGGGGGGCTGTCAGAGCTGAAATCTAAATCTCTGCTTTCCGTGTCCTTCCAGGGTGGGGTCCCCAGTACCCAGGCCTCTGCTGAGCGTACAGGAGGGAGTGGAGAGAAGGCGCCGTTGTCACAGGGCAGATTGATTGATTCGCCCAGGTCAAGGTTACCTGTGAGTTAATGAGTTATGGGGTGGGAGAAGGGGTGACCTGGTTGTGGGTCCTGAATTCTGAGCTGCCGCAGGCACCCCATCCTGAATCTAGGGGACAGGAGGGGTGTCTCTGCTGCTCCCAGGCCTGGCTGCACCTCTGTGGGGGAAACAGTGGGAATGGGGCACAGCAGGACCCCCATCCAGAAATCATTCCCACCTCCTTCCCCTCATTTCCTCCCGACACCCCAGCCAGGGGGGACCAGACAAAGTACAGGACCCCAGTAAAATTTGAATTTCAATAAATAATAAATACTTTTTTAGTATAAGGATGTCCCAGATATCCCTCTAACCTCGCTCGCTCCCTCTCTCGATGCCTGGAACACTGGGCTGGGTGGGCCTGTGAACTGGAATTCCCCCCATTTTGCCCCCCAAAACCTCCTTCTCTCCCTTCCCTGCTGACCTACCTTGTTCACCATCCCCCTTCCAAACTTCTGGACATAAACATCCATCCCCCAGGGTCACTTCCGGGAGGTCAAGACAGGACCCAAACCCTTCCCAGACCTCCAGCATTACAGACATGAATGATGACAACCACCCCATCAGGTACTGTTCCTTCTCTCTAAACCTACAAGACATTTGGCTCCTTCCATTATCACAACAGCCAGAACGATCATCCGTCCCATTGCTCAGATGGACTCACTGAGGCTGAAGAAAGGAGAAACCAAGCCCTGCTGCAAGGCAGAGGCCAAACAGGAATTCCTCCTCGAGGCTGTCACACCACAGAGCCCCAATGCTATCACGAAACCAGGAAATGGGGTGCCTTGTGGGTTGAGGAGGGAATAGGGGAAGTAACAGGGGTGGTTGGGAGCTCCAGTTTCAAAAGCTGAGCCCGCATTCTGGAAAACAAACGATTGCCTCCCGCCTCCCCCTATTCCAAAGAAACGGTGTTGCAACCGACGCAGACGGAGGCCAGATTTGTTCTAATACTCTGCACCTCCCCCTCCCCCTGGCTAGGAAAAGATCGTGGTTTACAGGAAATCAGAGCAAACTCCCCATTAACTCCTTCAGTGGAGTTGTGGAAACTGCCTCTCCAGGGATCAGGACCCCCCACCCACATACCATTCCGTGGCCTTAACCATTCACCTTCTATGCCCGGACAATAACGTCGCTGAGCATCAGAGAACTGCACATTAAAATGACACTGGGGTACCAGTTTTCACCCAAGAGGCTGGCAAAAATTCAAAAATTTGCCAACGTGCTTGGGGTGGGGGTAGGCAGTAGGTAACTGGCGATTAATTTCATGCAGGGCTGGTGAATGTTTAAAATACAACTCCTATGGAGGAGAATTCTGCAATATTTAGCAAGATTAGTAATGCATCTAGATGTAGACCCAGGGTGATGTCCTTTCATTGCAATAACAACCCTGTGAAGTAGGTGCTGTTGTAACCCCATATCACATGAGGAAACTGAGGCTCAGAGTGGTTATCATTAGCTTACCCAAAGATCACAGCTAATAAGCGTCAGAGCCAGAAAGTGATGTGGCTCAAGATTGTGCACTGCAGAGAGTGTGGTTTAAAACCACTCAAGTCCGGCTGGTTAGCTCAGTTGTTTAGAGCACAGCTTTGTAACACCAAGGTCAAGGGTTCGAATCTCCGTACCAGCCAGGCACCGAAAAAAAAGAAAAAAAAAAAACCCACGGAAGTATGTCTATCAAGAGGAGGCTGATTACTTCCACACAATGCAATAGAAGGTAGTTACCTACAAGAATGAGGAAGATCTCTGTGCACTGATATGAAAAAATCTCTAAGGTATGTTTGTGAAAAAGCAAGATGTAAAGCAGGGAGACAAGGAAAAATAGCATGCACGGTATATAAAAATAGTATTTATTTTTAAAACAGGTACATTGCTAACAGGGGTGGGAAGACCGTCATTCCCTCTATACACATTTGTACCTTTTAGATATTGAACTATGTGCATATATATTACTAATCCACCCACAAACAATGCAACTTAAAATAATAATATCCTATAAATAATAATATTGTAAAACATGTACAAAAGCTACAAATGAGAATTTTCCTCAGTGATTACTTTTTTGACCACCATAGTCACTCGGACATCCTGACAAGGGTAGGGGAAGGGAGCTCCAGGCTCCCCTTTCCCTGGAAGGAACAACCATCAAGACAGCGAACTCCTATACATACTTCAAAGCCCAGCTGAAATGTCCCCTTCTCCAAGAAGCCTTCCCTGATCCTCTAATTAGCAAAATTATTTTTCTTCACTGAAGAAAACACTCCATGGGACTGAGAACGTCTGTGCTGGGCTCTGTCCCTCTCTTCTACTCCCCCTCCCTCAACATGGAAGCCTCTGGAAGTGGAGCTCTATCTCCCAGCATAGAGATGAACTCATAGTCCCAAAGTGGACTAGGGCAAGGCCAGATACCTTGGTTGGGGTCTCTCTGAACTTTAGTGTTTCTCCACTGCAAAATGGGTGCAATGGAGAAAGGTCTCTGTTCTCCAGCTGGCCCTGACCTTGACAGAGACGAGGGCAGGTGGGCAGGTATGTTCATATTGGAAACATGCCCTCAGGTTACTTATCCCTCAACATGTTGGCCCCACGGCTTGAAAAACTTAGGAAATGGTATTGAGAAATCTGGGGCAGTCCCAGCGAGGGGAGAGGCCACAGGGGGAGAAGGGAGGGCTGAGCTGGGGAGAGGTAGGAGCCAGATAAGAGGCAGCCTCCAGCAGCCCCTGCTCGCTCCTTCCCATCCTCTCCCTCTGACCCTCTGTCCCTCCACTGTCCCTGCACCATGGGACCTGCCTCAGGTCCCAGCCTGCTATTGTTGCTACTCACCAGCCTCCCCCTGGCCCTGGGGGATCCCATGTGAGTACTCACAACTCACCCCCAATATAAGGCTGCTTCTGGGGTGGGAGCAGGCACTTGTGGGTACCGATCCCTATAGAATTCAGGGTGCATTTGGGTGTTTGTGGAATCCAAGTATTGTGGGATTGGGGATTTGTATATTTGTGAATTGAGGATCTGTAGGTTTAGGGTATATGTGGTGTTTAGTGACTGTGTGGTTGGGGTGATTTGGAGACTTGAAGGTTTGTACAAGAGTTGGGAGTTTGCAGTTTGGGGACTTAATGGGTTTTAGTGCTTGTACGTTTAGAGATTTGATACTTGGTTCAGGTAAGGTCGGGGTGTTTGGATTTAGTTGTATTTATAGGACCAGGAGATCAGAGGTTGAGGTTTAGGTGTTGGCTGTTAAACGGTTTGGGGTTTAGAAGTTTGGTTGCATGTGGGTTTGGGTATGTATAGTTTGGGGTCTCTGAGGGTTTGGGTGTGTATACATTTGGGGATGTTTAGGGATGAAGGGGTTTAGGGCTTTAGGCCTATGTGGGTTTAGGTGATTGTGGGTTTGGAAGTCTAGAGACTTGGAGGAGCTGCTGCTTCTGGTTTTGAGGTTCAGGGTTTGGTGGAACCCGCAGCCCCTAGCTGACCAGGCTTTCAAAGGCAGGACTGGCTAAGAGCGGGTGGAAGTCCCGGGTGGGCCTGCGAACTGGAAGTCCCTCCCGCCCGTGTGCATGAGGAGGTGGTGGTGCCCAGGGAGGAACGCGGATTCAGATATGAACGTTGGCAGGGCCCTGGGCAGTCATTGGATACGGGCCAGGACCAGGCGCTGGGCACGGCGCCCGGGCACAGAGGCGCGGCCAGGCGCGGACCCCGGTGAGGGCTGGAGTCTCGCGTCTTCGGGATGAGAGCTCCCCGTCCCCGCTCCCCACAGGTACTCCCTGATCACCCCCAACATCCTGCGGCTGGGGAGCGAAGAGATGGTGGTGCTGGAGGCCCACGATGCCACACAAGACGTTCAGGTCACGGTCACCGTCAGCGACTTCCCAGCCAAGAAGCAAGTGCTGTCCAATGAAAAGATCACGCTGACCAGTGCCTCGGACTACATGGGCAGCGTCACCATCAAGGTGGGCCAGACCCGAGCCAGGCTCTGCGGACACGCACAGCCCCTCCCATTCTTCCTGCCCTGCCTGAGGCTCCTCCCCCTCTAGCCCCGCCCCTGTCTGAGCCCCTCCCCCGTCTGAGCCCCTCCTCCTTCTGAGTCTCCTCCCCTCGGGCCCCTCCCCCTTTCTGAGGTCCCTCCCCCTCTGAGTTCCTCCCCCTGAGCCCTTTCCCCTTCTAGTCTCCTCCCCCTGA